GGGGGGTGCAGTGAACCCGCGGGCCTGGGCCCCTGGGGGCGGCGGCCCCCCCTTGTGAGGACGAGGCCCGCGTCGCTAAGCAACCGGCACCACAGTCTCCCTGCCCCGTTTCGTCTGGCGAGACCCACTCAGCCCACCTGGCGTCGCGGCTGGTGAGGGCCTTTCCTGCCATCCTCACGCCAGGCCAGCCGCGGGGTAAGTCGAGGGAGCGACACCGGAACCGGAGCAGGCCGCGTGCCGCCTCCACCTCAGGACTCCGGGCCGCTGGGAACGGTGAGTGCGTCCTGCCCCCGCGCAGGTGACACTCTGCCCTTCGCATGGACTTGGGAGGAAAACGGCCCACTCCTACCTGGAGTACACGAGGTAGGCACAGTTCCCCTGACTGCGGTCACCCAGGGGGAGCGTAGCTTAAATGCAGCCCCGTAGTGGTAGAGGAAATTCAGCTGGACTCACCCAAGACATACTGAACGGCCAGTGTTTTCTGGGACTGTGACAAATGCCAGGGTGGTGGGACTGAGCAGGATTGACTGCGGGACTCGAGCGGCTGTAATTTAGGACGGAGCAGAGTTTTTCCCGTAAGGTAAGTGTGACGTGGCGGGGATCCCGTGAAGGGACCGAGAACCCCGCAGCATGGAGACAGGGAGGGGGCTCCGGCGGTCTCGGGTGTCCAGCTGGGCCTTGAGAGAGGTGGCTTTGCTGGGGCTCGGGGCTCCGAGGAGGGGCGGGAAGTGGCCGCGAGAGGAGACAAGGCCTCGCGGACGTCCCGCCGCAGGCAGAGGGTGCCGGCGAAGGAAAAGACCACGGCTCCCGTCTGCGGCCTGCGCGGGGCAGTCAGCCTGGGCAGCCCGTGACGGTGACGGCGTTTGCGTCCCACGTCAGCTCTTCAGCAGGGTTTGTGGAAACTGAGTCCCGGGGCGGGGTGTGCACACCAAACGCAGGCCGGGTCCTCAGGGACCTGAAAGCTTCATTGAGAAAAAGAACTTTCCCAATAATTAACACAAAAAGTAGGGCACAGTCTCTGATTTGATAATATTCAGTAGTTCTTCTGGGTTCAAAGCAATACAACTTTTATTCAGAAGAAAATTTGTTTATGAAATCTTTTAAGTTGACAAACTTAAATAATGGGACAAATTATGTTTTTATATGTACATTTATTTTAGTGTGAGAAGCATTCTATATTCCATATAAACCATAAACTATGCATCAGGACAGGGCCCGGCAAGACGGGGACCGTTTCCAAGACGACGCTTGCGGGTGACTGTTCTTCAGGAACCAGCTCCACTGACCTAGAACAATTGCGCAAGGGGCCGACAGCTACTGTTTGCTCCTATCCAACAAAAAGGGGATATTAGCCTCTGACAGAAGTGGCAGCTATTAATACTAATAGCGAAAAAGTGAATGAAACCACATTTTCACAAGAGACACGTGAAAATATAGGCTCTGCATGCGAGATCCCCAGTAATTCCAAAGAAAGGCAGAGGAGGTACTTTTGGGATTAATTTTTGAAATCCTAAAAGTATAGGTCTTTTTATATAAAAAGGTACCGTTTTATTTCTGTCATTATTTGCGCATATAAGAGGTGAACGGCAGTATTGCTTATATTCATTGACTGCTATTTTCTTAGAGAAATTGGTCATCTATGTTGGTGGAAACCGTGCTTTTATAGCATCTGGTGGTCAGGGTCACCTAAGAAGGCCCCCCCCAGCCACAACTGCAAAATATTTCCTCTCCCAGGTCAGTGATGACTGGAATTCACGGCGTTTCTCGGTTTAGTGCTTTAGCTTGATGCCAGTTCAGGTGGAAAGTTGCTGGGGCTGTTGCCCTTGGAGGCCTGAACGTGCCTATAAAATGCAAACCACACGGAGGGCACGCCCAGCTCTTTTCAGGGCTCCTGTTTGGGAAGGAGGCAAGTTCAGAACCGGAAGCTGCTGGCTGCAGAGGCTGCGGGTCGCTGGGGGCCCAGGCTCATCCTCGGGCCTGTCCCGCAGTCGGGACGCCCGCAGTGACGGAACCCACCGTTCTTGGGCCGCTTCCTTCCCGTGGGACCCCATGCGCCAGGAATGTCATCAAGGAGTGAGAAAGGTGGCCCCGTCCGCCTTCCTTGACCAGGAGAGTCTGTAGCCGGGGTGAGCCAGACTCAAAGGGGCACGACACCCCATAATTACAATAATGGCCCAGGAACGCCCTGGACTTTGGCTTCTAAGGAGCCGGCGGTTACCGCTCATCAGATGCCGGCGACGCTCTGATTGAATCACCGAGTGGAAGCCAGCGGGAGGCAGAAGAGCTCTGCGTGTTCGAAACCTGTGCTGTCGGCAGCCCGTAGGAAGATTCGGGACGTTTCTATTTGTCCTAGTTTTTTACAGAGTTGAGTTAAACAGTGGTTCGGAATTTAGATGGCGGCTGATATTTTCCTTCCAGACAAGGACTCTGACGTTAGAATTTCCAGTGGGTGACATTTCGCAGTGACCAAGTCCAACACACACCGACGGGACACTCACCTCCTTTGTGCGCTCTCGTGGGCAGTGAGGTGGCAACGCCCCTGCTCAGCATCCAGGGTCCCCGAGCGCACGTCATCTGTGCCGGTTGCTGACCCGGCCAGCGCGGCGTCTCGCGGGGCAGAGCCCTGGATTTGGGCCGAGCCTTCGGCGGCAGATGTCGGTGCTGACCTCGAGTGACGGCAAGGCGGCGTCTGTGGAGAGGCCGCTTCCACCTGGTGGAGTCCTGCTCATTTCGTGGCCCTCGAGCCCTCGGGTGAGGGCTGACAGGGACGGTTACGCCCTCCCCTGGTTGGGGTCGTCTTTACTGATTAGGCGCGTCTGGTCCCCGCCGGCACGGTGCCTTCTGAGGGTGGGGCGGAGCCTTTCTCTGAGGTGGGGTCGCTTATGTCAAGGGCGCCCTGCACAGCAGGCGGCTCCACCCCCGACGGACAGACGGACGGAGCGGGGCCTGCAGCTCAGCTCTGTGGGGCTTCCAGCCGGGCCCAGCAGGCTGCTGGGACTCTTGAGAGAACACAGGACGAGGTCGCCGTCTCCTGCCTGCACCCAGGTTCACTCGCAAGAGCTACTCAGCACGAGTGAGCATCGCTTTCACGGGCAGGGCCGGCTGAACTAGAGAGTGTCGTCCACGTAATGGAGCTAAATAGAAAACATTATCTTCTGCCTAAGGACCGAGGCGTAGGATGCTCTTCACTGCAGGAAACCACGTGCCGCTCAGGCTGCCCTGCACACTCGCAGCCCACAGGGGGGCGCCGTTCCGGCCACGCCCTGCTCCAGAGTGGAACCTGGGCCTGGCCCTTGCAGAGCTACGAAGGGCACTGAAGAGATTTCGGTCTTCCCTCCTCCTTCCTTCCCTCCTTATAAAACATCACTGAAAGCGCAGCATCTGTCAAAGTCTACTCCTTCCGCCTCGGTCAGAAACTCGCAGACACTACAGAATTTCTACCAAGTTGTTTGTTCATGCCATTATGTGATAAACTATGCAGGGACGCCACAAATCCAAATGGCCTTAACTGGGAATTCCTGATGTGCACATTGTCTCATCACAATGTCTGCATTTCCACCAAGAGTCTTTGACGGTTTTTACCCTTTCTTTAGGTCACCTGAAACATCATGCTTCATCATGACTTACGATGTTCTCAAAAACTATCCTGTTGCTTTCTTTGAAGTTCAGAAGAATGTTACAAATCTGCATTTTCTGTTTATCTTTCAAAATGTGAGGCATAATATTCACATTATTGTTTTTGCAAAATGGGTGTTTAAGAATTCAAGTTTTTCTTCTCAGCCATTTTTCTTACAAATGACCACTTACCTGACTGCCCCAAGCCTCTGCCCACTGACAGGCCTCCAGTGGGCCCGGCGTGGTCGGAGGGCACTTGGAAAGACATCCTAATTGTTTGGCCTGTTTTCCTTAAACTTCTCAGGCCAGTAAAACTCTTACCAATCATATGATATCACCATGTCAAGCTTCTTTTATCATACTCCAATTCATTTAAAACATTTCCTTTTTTGCTATTAATAATGCTCACGTTTTAGGGCAACAGGATTTACACAGGTGCAGGTCTACAGGCCCCCTTAGCCCGTGGAGGTTTTTGGTGGTGTAATTGCAAATATTTTTAACACATCACCTACAGAACGTAATATGCAAGTAAACTCTGAACATGGAGAGCAGGCGTGCGCAGGAAGAGTGGAGTTGTTCTTGCAGGGCTAGCCGCGGTGGGCCTGTGGGTGAGGACAGGTGGGCATCTAGCGAGGCAGTGCAACCTCAGGGAAGCCACGGACAGCGGGCGTGGCAGTGCCAGCTCTTTTATATGAAATACCTACTTGATTATGATGCCTTGGCCAACTCCTCTGTTTTTTGATTTTCAATGTTTAGAAACGAAAACCCTGTTTGATGGCAGAAGATGTACCGTCAGGGGCCATCCTGAAGCCACCGGTGTTCCGCGTGGACGAGACCACCCCCGCGGTCGTGCAGAGCGTCCTCCTGGAGCGCGGCTGGGACCGGTAGGACGCGCGCGAGCAGAGCGTGGAGGGCTGGACCCTGTCCTGGAGGACGCCCTCGTTCCGCATGGCCGAGCACGTCCACGTGAAGCCGTGGCAGAGGCTGAACCACCACCCGGGGACCAGCAAGCTCACCAGGAAGGACCACCTGGCCAGACACCTCACCTACACCTGTACGGCCCCTCGCTCTACGCGTTCATCCCCGACGTTCGTCACGCCCGCCGACTACACCAGGTTCGTGGCCGAGTACTTCAGGGAGCGGTGGGCGCTGGGCGGCAAGCGCGGCTGCTGGATCGGCAAGCCCGCGGAGCTGTCCCGCGGGAGGGGCATCGTCATCTTCAGTGACCTCAAAGACTTTACCTTTGACGACACGTACGTCGTCCAGAAATACATCTGCAATCCTTGCTAGTTGGCAGGTACAAGTGCGACCTCCGCATCTACGTCTGTGTCACCGGCTTTCGGCCTTTGACCATTTGTGTTTACCAGGAGGGGATCGTGCGCTTTGCCGCCGAAAAGTTCAACCGCAGTAATCTGGAAAACGACCACGCCCATCTGACCAACTGCAGCATCCACAGATCCGGGGCCTCCCACGGCAAGGTCAAAGAGGTGGTTGGCCACGGGTGCAAGTGGACACTCAGCAGACTCTTCTCCTACCTTCGCAGCTGGGACGCGGATGACCTGCTTCTGCGGCGGCAGATCCACTGTGTGGTCACCCTGACGGTTCTCGCCGTGGCGCCGTCAGTGCCCTCTGCCGCCAACTGCTTTGAGCTCTTCGGGTTCGACATTTTGATGCATGACAACTTGAAACCGTGGCTTTTGGAAGTCAACTACAGCCGGCCTTGTCCTTGGATTGCTCGACAGACGTGTCCGTGAAGAGGAACCTTATCCACGACATTAGTGAGCTGATTTACTTAAATGGGCTACGAAACGGGGGCGAGGAAGGCAGGAGAGCGGCAGAGGGAAGTCCCAGTGTCCCCCGTGCCAAGAGTGACACACGCGCGCTCGGCACGGCTTGTGATGCTCTTCCCCGCGAGTCCCTCCTGCGGGTCGCGAGGACATACAGCGTGAAGGACTGTGAGCTGGGGACAGCGGGAGGCCGTGTCCCGAGAACGCACGCGGCTCGGCACGGGGGCAGCGTTCCTGTCCGTCCACGGAGAGCCGCCCAGAGCCAGGCCCAGGTTAAGGGGCAGGCACACGCCGCACCAGGCGTTCACGCCCTGCGTGTCCCCCGCACAGTCGCGCACCTGCATGACCAAGACCTCCCCCTGTGTCCTCGCAGACCACGGCAAAGCGCCGGACCCCCAAGCGGGCAACTTCGTTCTCATTTTTCCTTTCAGTGAAGCGACTCTTGGAGCCTCCAGGAATGGACCAAACGTCAAGAGGATAATCCAAGAACTACAGAAACTAATGAGCAAGCGACATTCCCAACCGGTGAAAAATAAAGATTCTTAGGCAAAAATAGTACAAAAAAGGCCAGGAGTTAACTTTTGCTTTTTTGTTTAAATCAACCATTTTTTGTCAAAATTATTTTGTTAACTTAAAGATCAATCATTCAGAGTGAGATGAATCACGGAAAACCCCAATGACTCTGTTGTTCACAGAGCCCGGGCCCTAAATTATACCTTGAACCAGGCGGCTCCCTGGGGGGCCTCCGTCAGCCTTGTCTAAAAAGGGCCCCTCCCGGCTGGCCGTGCCACTGTCGATACCGTCCCGGCGCGTGCCGGCAGGACCTTGCAGAACCAGGCATGCCACCGTTCCTGCCAGATCAGAAAGGCCTCTGCGGAGTCCTGGGACACAAAGTTTCCAGTAGGTTCCTTGGAAACGTTGAGTGCAGTAAAAGAGTAGCAGGACAGCCAAGGCGCAGGCTGCGTGATTCCGTTTGCGCCGACTGTCCAGGGCTGGCAGATCCAGGGGAGCAGATGGGTGGCTCCCGGGGGCGAGGGGTGACTGCTGACGGGTAGGGAGTTTCCTTTTGGGGCGACAAGAGTGTTCTGTGGCCGTGTAGTGGTGATGGTTACCTAACATTGCGAAGGTACTAGATGTCACTACGGGTACCTTCTATGTGTATTTTACCACAATAAAAAATAAGACAAAAAAGAAAGGGGAGGTCACGGACAGACTTACTGCCCAGAGGCTCCTGGGTGGGCAGAACTGTCCCCCTCTGCAGACAGGAGGGGCCAGGACTGAGATCCAGGCCATTTCCCCATTTTCCACTGCAGGACAGAGGCTGGCACACCTGCCCCAGGGACACAGACAGCTGAGCCTCCTGGCGGGACGCCGGCTGGGCAGAGCGGCTCCCAGCTGCAGCGGGAGGGCTGGGCTGAGCTTCAGGGTCAGGATCTGCGACACGACCAATGTAGACCCTTTGCCAAGGGTACAAAGTTCCAGTTAGACAGAAGAAGGAAGGCCCGGTGATCTCTGGCACTGAATGGTGACTGTTGTTGATAATGATACATTGTATATTTCAAAATTGCTAAAAGAATGTTCTCACCACAAAAAGTGTTAAGTTTGTGAAGTAAGGGATATATTAATTAGCTTGATTCAATCATTTCACAATGCAAACGTGTGTTAAAACATCACATGGTACCTCACAGATATATACAATTATTATTTGTCAATTAAAAACTTTTTAAAAGACCGACAAGAGGCTGGGCACCGTGACTCGTGCCTGTAATCCCAGCACTTTGGGAGGCCAAGGCAGGAGGATCACTTGAGGCCGGGAGGTCAAGGCCACAGTGAGCTGTGATGACACCACTGTACTCCAGCCCGGGCAGCGGAGTGAGACTTTGTCTCAAAAAGAATAAATAAAAATAAAAGAGAGGCGAGACTGAACGATTATGAACAGGCCTGCACCATGGGCAGTGACTGCCGTCGATGACCAGATAGTGACTGGCTGTGGCTGGAGGGCTCGTGGAGGGGCTTCTAGAACAGCTGACAAAGTCCTGTTACTTGGCCTGGAGGGAGTTCAGGAGAAAGCAAGAGAAAAAAAAGGCTGCAGTAGGTTTAGACATGAGGCCACAGTGAGTATTTTGCTCACTGCCTGTTTTCACACATTTATACATTTTTTCAATTTTTTTTATTTGTTCTCAACCTTGTTCCCAGAAATATTTAAAAGAATCAAGTAAGAATATAAGCACATTAAGGTTGTTCTGATTTTAAACGTCAGCTAATTTCCCACGTTAAAGTATCTCGCAAATGGAGTTGAGAGCCTCCTCCCCAAGGCTCAGGCGTCCCGGTGAGACTGAGCCAGGTGCCGGAATCACTTGAAAACCAGAGGTCAGATTTCACTCTCCAAAACGCTCGCTTCTTTATCATTAGGTATTAATGACTCCTCAGGCATAAATGTCGATCTTGCAGACATGGGTAAGGTGTGTGTTCTTGAGAAAGATGGTTTTATGTGAGTATTTGAAGTTTCAGGGCAAGACTCGCCGTGGGCCACTTGTCAGGAGAACTTGCCAAATCCAGGCGGAATCCCCCTCTTACGGCAAAATGTGGGCCAACTGAGCTGCGGCAATAATGAGCTCACATAAGACGCTGAAAAGAGCCAGGAAGCCTTATATACACAGAATTTGCGATCAGGAGCACAGGATACAGAGGCTGCGATGGAAACAGTCTTCCTGCGGTGGAACAAACTGCAGAGTGGAGAAGACTTACCAAGGAGACGCAGGGTAGTTACTTAAAAACCCCAGACTCTACTCCGGGGAAGACGGAACAGGCGTACGTCTCCCCACGCTTCCCACCAAGCATGACCGGACGCTCCGGGCAGTGCAAGTAAAACCGACAGGGGAAGACCGACGGGTGGAGAGAAGCAGCCGGCCAGGGCCTTGGGGGCCTCGGACAACAGGGCGGCGAATTCCCCGACTTTCTCTTTGCCTCCTACGTCGCAAACCGTGCACCAACGACGCACCAGGAAACCCAAGCAGACGGACAATGGCTCTGAAGGCAATTCCAAATCTGCTTGCTAGGGTCCGGAGGACACCTGTCCCGCGTCCAGGAATCGGCCCAGTGCAGGTCCCTTTTAGATCGACCCCAAAGCAGGAAGTAACTTTTTCGTGCGCAAAGGAGCCAGATTGGACCATTCCCGTTGCTACGAATCCAGCAGGAAACTGCACACACACAGAACCCAGAGGGACAGACGGTTTTCACAGACGCAGACTGCTGGGTGGAGGAGCTGAGGGGCAGAGATCAGGGACAGAGAGTTGCACAGACATGAAGACCAAAGGACCTTCCAGAGTTCCTAAGAATGGGCTGCAAAGAATGTTTGCACAGCACACGGGAGCTGGCAGACCTCCTTGGCATTGCGATTAATGAAAAGTCTTATTTATTTATAAGGCAAACCCTCAGCTGCCGCAGGGGCTGGAAAGTTCTCACTTAGGGTGAAGGCCTCAAGCAAGGAGCCAGCTCTGGGGGAGCTGGGCCCGGGACAAGAACAGCGGGGCCTGGAGCAGCTCAGAGGACGAGAATGGCCCAAAGGGTCTGAGTTCTTAACCGCAGTTAGCACGAGGCGGAGTCACCTATTGTGTAGAGGGCAGGACCTGGGAATTCCTACCAGACACACACTCCGTGGCTAGTTTCACGCGTGCGTAGTGAGCTGACACGTCCGTGTCAGTCGTATCACGTATCGCAGATTCAACCCATGTCAGAGTAACCCTTTTGCTGAATTTTTAAAGACCCAAATTAACATTCAGCAACAAAACCTCCTTGCGATTGAGCCCACACGGTGTGCTAAAGAACAATTTATGCTTAGTCCGCGAGAGAGGCGTCTGTGATGAGCTCCATTTACGGAACAATAAACACCATGTCTTCTCATCCCTTCCAAAAAGCCTGGCCACACAGTGGAGTATCAAAGGCCCAGGAACCGCAGAGGGAAGACTGTCTGGCTTCACGTCACCCAGTGTTCCCGGACTTGCTGGTTGGGCCACAGAGCGCGGCTGTTGTTGTGCACAAGTGTCCTGAGGCCTCGGTAGGGAAATACCGCTGCGGTTTCGGGCGTCAGAGCTCTGTCCCAGCCACGGTGTGGGGTCTGGAGCAGGAACCCATACGCCCTGCTCTGACAGGCTGCCCTCCCTGCCACCAACACTGACTGTGCCTCCCTGCCGCCTCGAGCCCGTGCGTGTCTCAGCCACCGTCCCGAGCACTCCCCCAGAACCGACCCGTGGAACCCTTGACAGCAGTCCACGGCGCGCACACTACGATGCCGAAACGCAGGCTAGAGGTCACCCTGCCTGGGTCACCCAGCCAGGTCGTGGGTGTGACCGCAGAGCCCACTGGGCAGCATTTCCCTGAACTCACCTCCCGCTGTAGAAACTACCGCCCCCAGTATCAAAGCTGTGAAAAGAACGGCACAGGCTTTGTGCGTGAGATCTGGCGTTAGTCGTTCTTTTGCGTGTGTTTGTTTGTTTTGCAATTGTGGTTAGACTTCTAAAAATAGAAGAAGGAAACTAAAGCATGAAATCCAGACCAAAATATCCATTTTCTCACACCCTCTTTCAGCCCAGTTCATAAATAAGACCTGCAAAGAAATTACAAATGCTGGGAGCTGACCGAAATGACTCCCCTGACTGATCGTTACGTGTTCTTTTCGACGAGCACTCTCAGGCCTTCCGCACGGCAGCGTCTCAGTGCCAAACCGGCAGCTACATCTCAGAAAACAGCTGTGAAAGGGGCGGATTTTCTGACCTAAACTCCAGCCTCTGTCGCCGCCGTCTGGGCACTGCCCACGTCCCAGGAGGCTGCCGGCAGCCGGACGGATAGAGGTCTGAGGGTGAGGCCGTGACAGCCGGCCAGGCCCTCCCTCAGCTCTGGGGCACGTGGCCCCGTAACCAGGAGGTGACTGCTCACTGCAGACCTGACCCAAGCACGGCGTTTGGGGAGCTGCAAAGCTCAGCTCAGATCAGGCCCTTGTCAGTCTTAACAAGGAGGGCGGCCGCTCGGGGAGACGGAAACGCTCATATTTTACACGAACAGTGGTGAGAAAGAACTATGGGGACAAGGAGGAAGTTAGGATACAACCTATTGTTATAACACTCTCTTGAAACTTTATCCTGGAGGCGCCCTTCCCTCTCAAAGTCCTGTGAAGGATGGCGTGACGTTGCTGCTGGTGACAGCGATGACAAGCTGACCAGCCCTACATGGGAGAATCTGCAATTAGTGCACCCCGTGCAGAGAGCTGGCTTCTTCGAATGAGGATGTTCAAATCTTTCATATGAAAAAGCAGGGTGCACACAGTGAGGGCCGAAATCACACTGTAATAAGGTAGAGCAAACTCGCAAAGCCAGAATCTCTGCGTTTCCACAGCGGATTGCTCTTCAGAGCCCCGACGGTGCCTCAGACAAGACGCTGGCAGTGTGCAGGACATGGATGCGGACTGCGCTGTGGGGACAAGCACGGCTCGTCTGCGGCCGCGGCTCCTGCTACTTTGTGCCGACTCAGAAAAGCTGCAACGCAAACTG